TCTCCAGACAAAACATTTCAGCAGCAAGAAAGAATCATCTCCTATAGCACTAATTAGCAACGTAAATCTCACCAAGAGCAATGCCAAGATATTTTATTGTTTGTCACTATACATGGTAATACAATTTCTGACATTTTATTCCTCTAAAAAATGTAACATCTTTAATAAGCCACAGTACAAAGCAGAGATCCTAATTTCACCATATCATCACAGAGACTGCAAAACAGAAAACATAAAAAGATCTAAACCAGGAGGTAAAAACAAATTTATTCTAAGCATTAGCAGGAATTTTAAAAAATCATCCATATGCCAAGAATTACAAAATCTAGGGCTGTCAAGTGAATGTTCCACATTGCAAAATCTACTATACAGTATCTCTATAGTCTAAGGAACATTAAACCCAATAGAGATTGTTTATAAAACATTTTAAATGTCCCTACCAGGATATGTAAATAGAGGCTGCTGCTCTGTAAATAGTTCATCTAACAGGTTTTTTTTTTTACAGTAAGGCATCTATGATATTATTAAAACCTGCCTCATAAATATTGCCCTGTTTCTAACCTAACAGAATTTTTATTGCCTTGTATGGTTGTGGTTCGTGTGTGTGTTTCTCTTTATGACTCTCTTACCCTCATTAGAAACTACTCACCTATTATTAAGTAACATAAAATCGTATCATGGTTCATGCCACATTAATGACAAGCATTTTGTAATGGTATTACTCGGCACATAAAAAATCAGTCCTCACTGATGAATGGTTGTTTTGCTCTGGCTATGTAAATAAGGCGAGCCCTACTCCATGACCCTGCAGCCCCTGGACTTGTCACATTAACAGAGCACACATTCCTTTGAAAGCATCACTGTAAAAATTACACTAGACAGGGCAGAGATAAACAAATCCTCTGGCATCAAAAGTGCCACAATCCTCTTTGTAAAGGAAAGATAAGTTCTCAATAAGCAAATCAAAAGCAGAATTAGGATAACCCCCACAATCACCCAGAGCAGGGTAATCGTAGTTGCTTTTCTTTTTCTACACAAATACTGCAGACAAGAACATATTCTACAACAGCAGACAAACTCCCTGAAGAAGAGGAAATGTTTAGCTAAAGGGTCCACAAGAGTATCAAATATCCCACTGCAAAAGCAGCAGACTAGAATATGCACGTAATCCCCTCTGGCTAAGTAGCATGGCTATTTGATTGAACAGAAGATTCTGGTCATCTGAAAAACATTCGAAACAACTGTGACTGATCAATTGCTGACAGCCAATATACATAAAAGAATGGAAGCCTAAAATCCTCAGTAAAGCAAATGTATATATGGATGAGACAATTTATAATATACAATTATGTGCATAAATCCTTCTATCCTATTATATAAAGGGGAAGTAAAATTTACCAAATATATTTTCACTAAAAGAAGAACCACATCTAGGACAATCATGCTAATACCATATCATTAATATTTTTTCAACAAAAACCACATATCCTGACAATGTATCATATTCAGACATCTTTTTTTAAATTCACATAAAAATTACTTATTTCATTCTGGCTTTTTCAGATAGACTCTAGTCACACTACAAATTTCATTCAATAACATGATGCTACACAAAATATGATGTACAAAAGTGGTCCTCTCTTTATCTGTCTCTGTAAAAATACATAAAGTGTCACTTGAAAAGATAAAAAACAGTACAATGTCAAAAATTTGGTCTCAGATAAAATAACAACATCACACATACTGAACATATTCAAATACCCATATTAGCTTTGCCAAAATTATTGTGTAGTTTTTTTAAATTGTAAGTTACAAAGGAAAACCAGTGGCTTTTATAGTACTGTATTTGAAAAAAAGCAACAGAATAACCACTTTACTTATTCAGAGATAATCTGCTAAGATTATCAACATGCATATACTTAGCAGAATTCCCTCAAAATGGATAGGCTCCTTTTGAATTAAAAACAACTACCGAATAGGATGAAAAGTATAATCCATTATGTTAAGAAGCTTCAGTCTGAATCCAAGCCAGTCATCACTAAGCACTAGCAAAGTATCATCTTGAGAAAGATTATTTATTCAACAACTATATATTGAGTATCTACCAAGTACCAGGAGTCCTAGGTACAGAATGCTGCTCTTAAAGAGCTCACAGACACGAGGGAAGACATACAAAAGCAAAATTACAGTACAGTAAGGTAAACGCAGGAGGAGACATGGCTGGCACACAGAGTATGAGGACCCCCATAGTAGTGACACAAATGGCTTTTTATTAATTACAGAGAAGAAAGATGCTGGATACAGACCCTGTCTTCTCTTTCTTAGAAATGCTAGGTACAGGGCCGGGGATTTAGCTCAGTGGTTCTGCCACCTGCCTTGCAAGCGCAAGGACCCAAGTTTGATCCCAGGTACAAAAAAAAAAAAAAAAAAAAAAAAAAAAAAATGCTAGGTACAGTGGTGGCCCGTGTGGGGAAGGACTATTAACATTATCACCTATCCAGAGACCAGAGGGCTACGGCCACATCAGCAACTTTTTATCAGGCAATCTGCGTTTCTAGAAAAACATATCATTAATAAGTACCAAGAAATTAGTCAGACTTGTTTGACCTTCTGATGATGGAATTTCTAAATTTGAGGAAAATACATACACAGTTACACTTCATTTACTGAGCAACCTTAAATATTTGGAAAACATTTCAAAGCTTGAAAAGTACAAAAACAGTACATTTAGTCAGCAAATAAATGTCAGTGTGTAAAACCTAAAACAACATTCATGTCATATAAGACAGTCCCTAAACTCACTCAAAATCTAAGCATGTTTATTTTACAGATGATTCTAATAAACAAACAAGAGCTAGAACACAGAGGAAGAGTGAGCAGAGATACATGGGCTGTAAGGAACAGGTCACAACTGATGGGAAGTAGGAGAGTTACAGAAACAGTGAAGAGAAATGAAAACACAAATACGTAGACTACAGCCACTCAATGCAGACCTACTTTTACAAAAGAGAACTTAAAAAGAATGGTAGTCTCCTTTTTTGCCTTTTCCCTTTCCTCTTCAACTTGAGAACTGCTTGCTTTCAAGTAGGACTTCTAATAACACTATACTGGTCCATCAGTACTTTTAAATTTTAAAGTGCTGTTGGGAGCCCAAACAGGAATTTTACAGTTGAAGGTACATACCAACTGACAGCAACACAGCCACTCCCGTGCAAAAGGCTGTCCTACTGAACGGGATGCAAACATCTATGTCTAGGAGATGTGTCCCATGTCAGTATTGGCAGACAACTCTGCCACAGAGTGCACTTTCAACAGGAACTACTATCTTCACATGTTTACTTTCATTTTTAATTTTGGTTGTGTCACAGATGTTTTTATTGCTTTCTAAATAGCATAAATATTTTCAGGGTTATTGACAGATGGCAAGGATAAAATTAATTTCCAGTTTTCCACGTTTGGTTCCCTAACTCTTCAGGCTGACCTCTGATTCGGAACACAATTACCTTCAACAGGGCTATGAAGCACCATCAGCAGCAAGTCTGTGGTTGTTGCCACCACTGAATGAGGGGGCAAATACCTGCCAGCACAGTGCAGTGATACCATCTCAGGCTGCTTCTTCAGAGCAAGCACAACAATGCCTCCAAAACAGATGAAATTCTGAGCATCGGCGCCTGATATCCCACTGAACTGTGATACCCCTGGATCGAACTCGCAAAGCATACATTTTAATCAGCTAGAAGATGCCGTTACCCACACTTTAAAGTTACATAAATTACAGGTGGAATGCATTTTTAAAGAAAAAGTTGGCCTCAGAATATTTATTTCTCTCAGCAGTTCTACAGCAATCAAAAAACCTGGAAAAGGTAGCTTAGTAGGTTTCATTTTAACCAAGGTAAAACTGCTGTAACTATGATGTTGCTATCTCAATGAACTGCAGCCAGCAACTCACGTATAAAGTGTACTCATTGTAACATGGGGAATGGCATACACATATGATGTTATCATCCCTATTTTAATTTAGAATTAATCTCTTGTTCTCCTCATTAAGTAGTGTTACCTACATACCCCTAGACTGCTGGCTAGGCCAAATCTATAAAACTAATACAGAAATAAAAATAAAGGGCCATCATGGATAAAGAAAATGTGGTAGAACCATAAATGGAATATTGTTTGGCATCAAAAAGGAACAAAGTTCTGACAGAGGCAACAACATGAATGAACCTTGAAAAAAATTACTTGGTAAGTGAAAAAGCCAAAGGCTACATTTATATGAATTCCATTTATACGTAATACTCAGAAGAGCAAATCCATAGAAACCATAAAGATTAGTGTTTGCCAGAGGCCAGGGGAGTGGGGAATGGGGAGTGACTGCTAATGGGGATGGGGTTTATTTTAGGTGATAAAAAGGTTCTAAAGTTAGACAGTAGCAATGAATGCACAACTGTGTGAATACAAAATAAACCACTAACTTGTATATTTTAAAAGGGGGAATTCTATAATATGTGAATTCTAGCTCAATAAAGCTTTTATTTAAAAAGGGGGTGTAGGAGGGCCCAACAGCTGATAAAAGATACCCTGAAATAAGAACTCTTAAAAGTAAGACACTAAACTCTTAGCTACGTTTATTGGTGCTTTCAATTTTATTAGTGTTGGCTCATCTTTGTATCCTGCGATCCTTCACTGTTTAATTTCAGAAAGACAAAATCTTCTTACAAGAAACAGAAACAGGGCTAACTCTAATGAGGGGCTAAATCACAAAGCACTGCCCCTTGTTCACAAAGTACAATTCAGTCTATATCAATCTATCAACTTACTTATTAACAGGCAGTTCCAAGGAAATCTTAGGTCACTCAAATATTTTGTAATCACAAAAGAATTTGCAGGTAGTTACTTAATTCACAATCAACTACAATGTGAAAATCTAGATTACCTATTGCTTTGAATCTAGTGGAAACTATTAATCAATCATAACAGGAAAAGTTTCAAAAACAAATACTGACCTTGTTTCTTTTAATCCTTCCTTCTGAATGACTTCCAGTATCTGCTTTGCTGTCATTGGTGAGTTGGGGTGTTTTTCTAGTGCCTAAAATATAAACATAAGATTCCTAATTATTGGATGGAAGTATACAAATGAAAATGTGTGTGAATCATGCAATCATTGCTTAAAGTTGTAAAGGGGAAGGAGCTTTTATATCAAACTAAGTTCTCATCAAACAGCTAAGGTGTCCAAAGGGAAAATGTAATATTTTGCTGGGCTTCTAAATCAGCAATTTCTGCAGTATATGGGGCCATTCTTCAAAAAATGTCAAGGAGGTTTACACACAAACCAAAAAAAAAAAAAAAAGTGACACTTAATGAAACCAAGCCAATATATGGATATAATCTTTATTTTTAAAAATTGCTAATATTTTATAGCCAAAAACACATCTTCAGGCTGTTAAAATGTTTCCTTAGTTCTCAGACCTTGGAAATATGAAGCCTGGATGTTACCAATAGCAAAGAACAAAATGGTCAAAAACAGTCTCACAATATTCATAGTTTGATCAACCACATTGGTATTTTTAAAAACAAGAAACAAAATTAAATCTTCAATGCTAAAATAGCGGAAGGAGAATACAGAAGCCAAGGGCAGTTGCTGCTGTGTGTTTTCCAGTTCAGCTCAGTTTCCTTTCCTTTGCCTTTTCCAATTAATTTTAAGTAAATCCTTTCCACTTTCTATTCAGCCCATCTCAGTTTTATGAATTCAGTCCCATTTTCTTTCTCTCCTCTTCTGCCCTGCTTATACTTTTGGGAAGGGGGTTCTCTTAAACAAAGGGTATGGCAATAAATGCAACACAGTTGATTATTTCCACAGGCATTAGACCACCAGCCCTGGTAATCAAATTTTTTTATTTATCCAGGGACTTAACTCCATGCAGCAGAAGCAATCAACAGAAGATCCCACACTGCTCACCCACATGGACCTCAGGGACCACCTCTGGGTATATGAAACAAGACTACACATCTCTTCAAATGACCTCCTCTCTAAGGGAAATTACACCTAATTAAAGATGTTATAATGGAGCTTCCTTCACAAGTCATGGCCCCATTCAACTGGATGGTGCTAGAACTCTCATTTATGATTATTTACTAGAGGGATTATAATTATTAAGAATTAACAGGGTTACCCTAAAAGGCTTCCCAATCTGTTGACAAAAGCTCTATGATCTCTTCTACTGTCAACGGTAACTTTCAACTAGCTCAATAGTAAAGTCTCTGTCCACCCGGGTCCTCCAGCAAGATACATGAAACCCTCACATTTAGGCAGCTCCCTATTCCCCCTTTTCCAGTTCATGGGCCATTTCTCCATTTTCTCAATCTTAATCAGTTCCTTACTCCTGGTCAGTAAGCTCCGTAAGAATATAGAAATCAGAGTCACACTAGAAAGAGTGTGTGACGTAAGTATGTCCCCAGGAAAGAAGGAAAATGGTCCTCACAGAGGACGAAACTGAAGAGCTGAACTGAAAACTGGGAAAGGGGATAAAAGAAACAGGCAAAACTGTATGGGGGAGAAAGAGCAAAGGCAAAAAAATATTGGAAAAAAGGCAATAAGGAAACTGTATAATAATGCTGAAAGGGGGAAAAGATTTGATCACATAGAAAGGAGGAAAGAAATAAGACATGAAAACAAAAATAGCTGACAGAATTTTCAAAAAAAGAGAGATTGTAAGTAGAACAGCATATAATTATGAATTACAGGAAGGAGATGTTGTGGTCACATGGTCTACATATACGGTGGGCTTCATCCCAAATGAGAGGCAATGCGGGGAAGACTAATGGTCTCTCATAAAAGATATGGGCAGAAGGCCAATAGACACAGACAGACACTAAGCAAGCAAGGACAAGGGGAACAGGAAAGTAGGAAAGTAGGGTTGAGGGATGAGGGGGCATAGGAAAGATGGGAAATAAAGGAGGAAAATTGAGCTGAACTGGGAATGTCTAAAAGCAAACTGGTTCAATCCAGAAAGGGCCAAAGAGGAAACTCCAGTGTACTGGGCAATGTTTTAACAGAAATTTTGGTGCACTCAAAAGTGGGGTTACTCACTGTGGAGGATTCCCTGTTTCTCTTCCTGAGTACAGGCCCCTCAGCACACCTGGGCAGCTCCTCCCAGCAATTGAGAGAATTTGGATAGCCCTGTCCCCTTCTCTATGACATCACATCCTACTCTACAAAGGAAGTAAAAGTGCCAAGAATTACATCAGGAAGTGGAAGAGTGGCAGGAAGGAAATGATGAAGCCACACAGAGCACCAGAAGCCACCCTCAGTTCCTGCAAGACAGAGAAAGGAGACAGAGAAGAGGAGGTTCCTGGGTGTAAGCGAGCTTTACTGAACTCTAGCTGTGTACACAATAGAACAAGATAGAAATTACCATCGCTGAACAAAACATTGATACCATCGAAATAATGTGAGGCAAGGCAGAGACATGAATCAGACTCACAGACAGTCATACTCCAAACATTAGAGTGGGGAACACTCACAGTCAGAGTGCACTGGCATCCTAAAGCTCTCAGGTCCAAATGGTAGACTAATTGTCACGGCCTCAGCAGGCTCCTGGGCATGAGGCATTAGTTGACCTTGGACTTGTTTGGATTTTGTAACTATATATGCAAAATTTTCTATTTTTATACAAGCAATTCTATCACCTTACACATACATTGGTTTCTGATTTTATGCACTGAAATTCCTTTTATCCAGACAGCATCCAAATACCTACAAATGTTTCTCTTAAGTATTTTTATATAGTTATTCTTTGGTTCATCTGAAGTTTTTATTTTTGTACCAAGCTGAAATATTGACTTAAACCCCAACTTCCCACTCATAAGCCACATTTCTCTAACATTATCATGTTCCATAACCCACACATGGTGAGGCATTCTCTACCATATATAAATATAAACATCAAATATAAATATAAGAGTATACTAGAACATTTCAAAATGTGAAACCAACATATAAATGTGGGAACCCTACATAAAAACACATACAGAACTGTTTTTGTTGAGCTGCAGATGAGACATGAGAACCCCCATACTACTCCCTCTAACGGCTACAGGTATATCTAGGAATCTTGAGGGTTTCTAACCTGCAAATCACAGTTCTTGGGGCTTTCCAGGGATCCCGCTGAGTTCCACTGCTCTTTCAGTCAACTGTTATGTGAGCATTACACTGTTGTAATTGCTGTGACATTATAATACATTTCACTTTCTGAACAGGACACATCTCTTATTATTTCTTCTTACATTTTTAATTATTCACTTTATTTTTCCAGATGAAATTCAGACTGGATTTGAGTGAAACATTTAATTAAATTTGGAAGGAATGTACACACATTATTCCACTTAAGATCTATTTTTAAATGTACAATAACCTTTTTATTGCTTTATATCTTTCAGTTGCAGTTATGAACTTTTTCTGTAATATTTTCATATTTTATTACTAGTGCATTCAACAGCCACTGAATTCTGAAAATTACCTATACAAACAACTAATTGAATTTTCAAAAGTTCTGATTATACAAAAGTAAAGAACCTTTCTTTTTACAAATAAGATGCATTGGCTCCCCTTTCTAACATGTGTGTTTTACTTTGCTTCTCATATTATTTACTTTGGCTGAAAAGTGATCTTTTCTATTACAAAAAAATTTGAAAATTTTATCATTTATTTCCTCAAAAACAGGCCCTTAACACTCCTGCTGCCATTTGTTGCTAAAGATAAGCATTTTTTTGAGACCAGTCTGGCTATGTAGCCCAGGCTGTCCTGGAACTCATGCCTCCTGCTGCAGCTTCCTAAATGCTGGGGCTACAGGCCTGGGCTAACACATCTGGCTATATCCAGAATGATTAGAATGAGTGCTGTCAATTGAAGGGTGTAATTAGAAACCAGTGGCCAGACGTCACTGTCTCTTCTGTACAAATCAATCTGTCCAAGTGTTCAATCTTAACATAAAATGTCCTTTCTTTCTTTGTACAACAGATTGTTCTCCTGTGCCAGAGCTTCATTCGTGATCCTACTTCACTCTCCCTCTCCAGGAGCTGCCTTGCATCTGCCCACCTCTTCCAGTTTTCAGCTACTTTCTTTCTCTGGCATTGTTTTCCAGGCAAGGTTTCAAATTCAACACTGTTCTCTGAAAGGGGGAACTCTGCACAGTCAGGGACACACTGGGCACATATCATCAGCTACCTTCCTAGTAAAGGATCTTTTCTTTTTCACGGGAGGTGAACAAATGTGCAGAACTGGCAAATACAGGATTGTATTTCACCTCCTTGCCTGGCTGAATCAGAGCCTATCTCACAGACATCCAGATTCATGCAAATCAGAAGCAATACAGTCTCATCCCAGAAATTTCCTTCGCAGACTTCCACATGCCTCATTGGGGGAAGAAATAAATCTGCCCCAAAAGACAACAACATATGCAAGGGAGGCGCAGTGACCGGGTAGTGGCGAACCACCTAGGGCACTGGCTGCAACACAGAGAATGTGCCTTTCCATGCTTAGGTTCACTCTTTAAGCACTCTTCTGAACCAAGAACACTGGCTCAGATATCTTAAAGGCTTACTCAAGAATTCCTTAGTGCCTCTCAAACAGAAAACTCATTTTAAGTGTCCTTAACATAAATACAATAGACCAGTGTTCACTTGAAGGTTAAAATTTTGCCCTTTCAGGACTTAAATAAAACTTTCTGTGAGAGCCTCTTTGATTGCAAAAAGAAAAAGGGAAGAAATGAAAAAAAAGAAAAAAACCTCGCCACCATTTAAAAATCACTTCAGTGTTTACATTTGTGGAATCCTAAATGGGTATTAATGACAGGCTTTCTGTCCTTTTCCTAACATTAATGTGTCTTTTCCTAATCCATACTGGCAGTTCATTAAAGTGCTTAGATGTTTAAGGCCCCATGTCCTGGGTAAAGGATTATGGGGTTATAATAACAATAAACTATTATATAGTTCTCCACAATTACAGATTATTTTCATACAACATAAATTATTTCATTTGCTTTTATATAACATTATTTTATTTAATCCGTGTGCTTCATAGAAGAGGCA